GGGGGAGAACATTGTGATCTATTAGCTGGCAAGAATGCAAGACGTCTTATAATTAACTGAGAAAGAAATGGAGAGATTGCGAGGACATTAAGATTATTAATTATCGCGCTTTTAATATGCGGATTGGTATGAGACGTTGTGCAGGCCGTTACCCGCCGTCTTATTCCTGTCACATTAAGTGATTTCCAAACTGATGCAAAGTAAACTTTTCTTGTAATGTTTTATTTGCGTCGGGTAGCTCAGCCATAAACATCTCTGCTCAAGGACAAATTGCCGCCATCGCTATGCAGAGAAGATATTCACCTACTTACCTCCAGCTCTCCGGAGCCGCGGCTCGCTGACTTGACGCGGAGAGGTAGTTGAGTATTCTCACCACAGATACCGATACTATCTCCAACGTCAGGATCACTATTGCGACAGTAAATGTCGGAGCTCATGGACATAGAAAGGAAACAAGTGCACATCATTCCATTGTGAGATCCTGCTGCCAACATGTCTGGTTCTGTTCCCGCCAGGGTTGTCCCTATAATGCTTTAGCCTCAGGTGGCATTTTTTGGGTTGTTGGTGACATGGCCCCCTTTCCAGCCAGAGCGTCCCAGTTTACTAAGAGCCGGGCAACCCAGGACACTCTGGCCAGCGTCCTGCCCAGCTCCCGGCAACCAGTGATGTCACCGGTTGTCAGGAGCGAAGCAGGATACAGCCCCATCCCCAACCACCACCCCCTGTTAGAGTGCACGTCAGGCAGCGAAAACCCTAGGGAAGCCCCTGGCTCCCAACCACGTTCTCACCAAGGGGGCCTTACCAAAGACACATTTTTGGCCCCAAAATCAGCTACTTCTTCATTGGGTATAATTTAACAAATGGATAGAAGTGGGCCATGTCCAGGTCTTCAAGACAGTGGGTGCCTTGAACACTTGCACATGGCCCACTTCTTTAAATGGCCTGGTAGGAACCCCTCATAATGGGCACAGCAGGTGTACAGACCCGGGTACTCAGCACAGGGATGGTGGGAGCTCCTCATAATGGACACAGCGGGTGTACAGACCCGGGAACTCAGCACAGGCATGGTGGGGGCCCCTCATAATGGGCACAGCAGGTGTACAGACCCGGGTACTCAGCACAGGGATGGTGGGAGCTCCTCATAATGGGCACAGCGGGTGTACAGACCCGGGAACTCAGCACAGGGATGGTGGGAGCTCCTCATAATGGGCACAGCGGGTGTACAGACCCGGGAACTCAGCACAGGGATGGCGGGAGCCCCTCATAATGGGCACAGCAAGTGTACTGACCCGGGAACTCAGGACAGAGATGGTGGGAGCCAGTGGCGTCACAAGGGGGTGCGGGGGGTGACCTTGTGGCACCATTGCAGGGGGGACACCAAAATGACTGACAGTCATTTTGGTGTCACCCCCTAGGCAGAGGTCAGCCGGCCGGGTCGGAGGTCACAGGAAAAGACTTGCCATAAGAACTTCACCCCGCGACCACATGAAAGGACTCCTAATTCAGTGTAAACTGCAGACTTCCTCCACTTAGAACTCCGAGACCTCCGAATGAATTCCAGGGGACTCCGAAAACTGCTAGAGCCAGCGCATAGGGGCCAAATCCAGAGCAGAGAGAGGGAGAGACTACTCTAATAGGTGGACGAAGCAAGAGCTATGATCCCATCTACACACACCAGTAGGAAGATCAACCAATCCATATGTTTAATGATATAAATGTGACGCACCGAGCATCTAATATGTGTAAGAGGGAAACATTGCAATAATAACTCTTACGTTGCAGATTGTTGGTTAGATGGATGGCATTTGTATGCCCGGTGATATGACTTCATTCCCGTCTTTCATGATCCCTTCTCCTCCACAGATCCCCACATCCAGTACGAGAAGATTGGCTCAGACGCGGTGATAAAGTGCGGATCTATGGACCCCGACTTCGCTGTAACGTGGACTGTAAACGGGACCGACATTACTAATCCCCAGCTGAACGGCTCCGCTCTCCTCTTACACAATGTCAACTTATCACACAGTGGATTCTATTCCTGCTTCGAGGGGTCTTCCTGGAAGGTTTGGCACCAGACCGTTCTCAAAGTCGGCCGTGAGTAGCTCCACTATCGCTTTTTTTTTTTTACTGTTCTCCAAAACTAAAATTGAACTCACGCCCTCGCAGATAAATCTTTTTAGAAGAAGATCTCACTAGGTGGGCGCTTCAAATGGTTGAGGCTCTCCTGGCATGCTTGCAGTCTTCCAGTGCAGGTCACATGACCAATGCCAAGGTTCTGATCACATGGTTTCTGCCAAAGAGTGATGATTATTATTATTATTATTATTATACAGGATTTATAAGGATGAGCAGCTTTGTGGTATCATTGGTGAGGAAGGAGCGTATTTTGCAGATGTTACGAAGGTGGAGGCGGCAGGATTGGATAGGGTAAGCCAGGCAGCTACATCTCTTATCCCTAACCCTTTGGCAGAGATCACATGACCAATGCCAAGGTTCTGATCACATGGTTTCTGCCAAAGAGTGATGATTGGATAGAGTAAGCCAGGCAGCGACATCTCTTATCCCCAGCCCTTTGGCAGAGATCACATGACCAATGTCACCGCTAATATCTGAGGTCTGCAGAATTTCAAATATTTCCCCCCAAAAAATGTTATACATATTTTAAAAGATAATTTGTAGTTTCGATCTTCACAGTTCAATATATTCCAGCAAAGCAGCCTTGTACAGATACATTCCCCTTACCTCAGTCTTTTATTTCCCTATGCTGCGCCCGGGGTCATCCCTATAATGCTGCCTCAGTAGCCGGGGTGGGAGGAGCGGATGCAGCAGGGGGGCAGCCACAGAGTCTCATGTCGCCAAGAGCTTTTGCATTTTGCCGAGCTCCTGGAAACCAGTGAGGTCAGTGAGCTGGGCAGGACGCTAGACGGAGCTGCTGAGGGCGTCCTCCGACACCCGCTTCTGCCGCCCTCACAACCCCCCCATCCCAAATGACAAGTGACCCAGTGACCATTCCCTGACAGCAACCCTACCCACTCAACATCGCCTATTTGGCTGCCCTGTTATCGCAGCCTTAGGTCATTGTAAACATTGCATTTTCTATACTCAACCTGTATGCAGCCTCCATTTTAACTTGAATAGGTTGGACTTGATGGACTAATGTCTTTATTCAACCTCAAATACTATGTAACTGCAGACAAGGACTAAAAAGGACTAACACAACATAGACGTCATCTGATCCATATACCTGTCACCTTCCCTGCCAGATGCTATAAGTCATATGTGCCGCAGTCATGTAATTATCGGAGACCACAAACTGCCAGAAGCAGGCCGGCCCCCTTGTGTTTGCAGACAGGCTGATCATACACAAAGCAGTGTTTACCCCCGGCCTGTACCTGTGATGACAGCTCTAGGAGCACACGGAGGTTCACATTTACATTTGCAGATGTTCTTGGTGTCCTTAGATATATTAGGAGACCTTCGTTCTCCTGCACCTTGGATGAAATCTAATGACTTATCAAATGGGAATTGTTTTGTACTTTTGTCATGTGATCATGTCGGGCTGATGTTGTCATATATAAAAACGGCGCAGTATGAGATCTTTAGGTGATCTGAGGGGGTGAAGGTGCAGGAATTGGGGTGATCTGAGGGGGGAAGGTGCAGGAATTGGGGTGATCTGAGGGGTGAAGGTGCAGGAATTGGGGTGATCTGAGGGGTGAAGGTGCAGGAATTGGGGTGATCTGAGGTGTGAAGGTGCAGGAATTGGGGTGATCTGAGGGGTGAAGGTGCAGGAATTGGGGTGATCTGAGGGGTGAAGGTGCAGGAATTGGGGTGATCTGAGGGGTGAAGGTGCAGGAATTGGGGTGATCTGAGGGGTGAAGGTGCAGGTGATCTGAGGTCTATGAGCTATGTACAGCCCTGTGATGATGTCATTGCTACGGTTACAAGGTAATACCTGGTTGGGGGAAGTCATGTGATCCTCACATTGTGCATTGATATTGTTGAAGAATATATAAAGTTTTTGTGATCGGATTTCGGGCGTGAAGCGCGTTTCCCTTTCATGGGGAGCAGATTTATTTTGGGACTCGCGGCGGCATTAATATTGTATCAGCTTTTTATGAGCTCCGGTGAACTTCGCCTGAAGGTGCCGAACAGAAGATTGAAGTTGATGGATTTTATTTTCAGGTTCTAAGAGACATATTTTTAGGCAAATCGTTTCCTCCGGCCGGCGCGGATTTATGATAATATCGTCAGATGAATCCTGCTGGTTATACATCATATGTGTACATGCCTTACCCTCCCCCCCACTTCCATATTCACATAGCCCTGCCCAGTGCTTCTCTGTAAACTCCACAACTCCACCCCGTGTTATGAAGAAGAGGAGATGGGAGGTGTTCTATAGTCCCAGGAGGCTGCTGGAGACTGGCAGCATCACTTCAGCCTAGGTAAAGCCTCTGGAGCTCACCTTTTCGAGACTCGATATCAGGATAGAGTGGAAGCTGAGGCCTTGTTCACACCAAATGCAGACCAGATCCGGTCGGGTTTCTGCACACGCAGTGTAGTGGGTTGTGCCGCGTTTTAGACGCGTTTTTGATGCGTTTAGGGCCGGTTTTGGATAGGTTTAGGTTTAACATGGGCTTTCAGGCACTTGCATGCGTTTTTGATGCGTTCCAGACCAGATCCAGAGCAGGTAAAGTAGGGCTTGCCGCATTTTTTTCATCCGGTCTGGATCTGGTCTGGATCCGAAACGCTGCGATGTGAACTGGAGGTCAAAATACCATAGGAATACATTGGACGCAGTTTTGATCCGGTCTGCACCTGCTCTGGTCCGGATCTGCTCCGCGCTTGGTGTGAACAAGGCCTTACTATTTGGGGCTGACTTCCAGCACATTCGCCCTGCGTACAGCTGGGCGGATGACGTTCACAGCTCATTGCTGCCACTAGGTGGAGCTGAAGAGCAAGGGAAATTCCTCTACTCCTCGGCTCCACCTAGTGGCTGCAGAGGTCATTTGCACAGCTGTATGCTGGACAAGTGCGCTACAAATCAGCCCCCCCATCCGCCTCTTCCCTAGTGAAACCCTTAATTCCATCCTCCTCTCCCAGCTACGCCCACTGCCTTCCAAAGCAGCCGCGGCCACTGCAAGCCAGATTTCAGCTTTCATCTAACTTGCAGCTCTGGCCGAAATGACAAATGATTTGAGAAGGATCGGCGGGGGAACTGAAGCCGCGCAAGGCCGCTTGTTGACACCAGACAAAGAAGCAGCTCATCCCTCGAAGACGCGTCGCTGGCACCACGGGGACCGCCCTTCGTACGCGCCAGCGATGGGGGAGATAACGCGGGAGACACAGAGTCTGGCACACGGCGTCTCGCCCGCTTCCCTCTGCTCTCCGCTAAGTGGGTAACTCGGTTTGCGACGATGCGACATGAAGTCATGATGATCGGATCTTCACCATAAATTCTATTTATCCTCCCGCGACGCAGCAAATGAGGGGAGAAGGAGATGATATCAGTCTGGGCGCGCAGCGACACATGAATCACCGCGCTCGCCCCGGCCCGCTGAAAAATAACAGCTGCGGATGAGCAGCCATCGCGACGGGCCGGGGAGAAACAAATCTACAAGGAATGAGGAGGCCGAGGAAGAGGGGGGTTCATGGGGAGTAAAAAGACGATGAAGAACAGCCGGGGTCCAAAAAGTTCCAACAAAATGGCCACCACTGAGCATCTGGTCTGACTTAAGTCTGACCTCCGTCCTCCCCTTCAGTCTTCTATCTGACCTCCGTCCTCCCCTTCGGTCTTCTATCTGACCTCCGTCCCTCCCTTCAGTCTTCTATCTGACCTCCGTCCTCCCCTTCAGTCTTCTATCTGACCTCCGTCCTCCCCTTCAGTCTTATATCTGACCTCCGTCCTCCCCTTCAGTCTTCTATCTGACCTCCGGCCTCCCCTTCAGTCTTCTATCTGACCTCCGTCCTTCCCTTCAGTCTTATATCTGACCTCCGTCCTCCCCTTCAGTCTTCTATCTGACCTCCGGCCTCCCCTTCAGTCTTCTATCTGACCTCCGTCCTTCCCTTCAGTCTCATATCTGACCTCCGTCCTCCCCTTCAGTCTTGCACAGTTGTATCGGATCCTCTCCTCTTCCTCTGATATCACTGCACACTGGGAGCTCCTCACAATGTACATTAGAAGCTGCAGCAAGTCACATAGAGCTCCGTCTCATTTCCTGGATGGAGGACGTCCAGCATCATCTAGTGTTTTCCTCCTCTGCCTGACTATCCCTAGTCCTGCCACTTTCATTCATTGGATTTGAGTTCTTTCAATCATGGAGGCCTCAGAGAGATACATATATACAGTAGATACATTTATTTATCTCTATGTATGCATTTCAATCTACCTCTATCTTTTATACAGCGAGGAAAATAGTTATTTGATCCCCTGCAGATTACAGAGAAATGAAAGGTCTATAATTTGTATCATCGGAGACAGAATGTCAACCAAAGATCCAGAAACAAGGACAGAGTATGTTTACTATAACCACAATCATGAAGGAACAGGAAGTGATGTAGGAGGTGATGTAGATCACTTCCCATTCATTCATAATTGAGGATATAATAACCATACTCCGTCCTCAATTATGTACAAACACTCAGCGATCACTGATCACATGACTGCTTGTACCCGCTCTCCATCCTGACACGCTGTCACAGGAGGCTGAGCGAGCGGTGTGTGGAGGAGAGCCCAGCCTCCTGTGACAGCGCTGTCTCCGCCCCCACACTGCTCTGCCGGACCGTGATAGGCGGCCGAGCGGTGTGGGAGGAGAGACGCCGGCCGCTCACAGCGCTCCCCTCCCGCAGCGCTCAGCCGGCTGCCAAACATTTTCTCCTCCCCGTTGGGACACAGAGCAGCGCCCAGCGGGGAGGAAAGAAGCCTGGGATGTGCCGACGTATCGGCAGGAAAATTGCACTTTCGGCATTTAGCCAGAAGTGCCATTTTCGGCCGATATGTTTCGGCGGCCGATATATCGGTGCATCCCTAGTGAAATGTCTTGAAAACTTTAGCCAACCAACCAGTATCTTTATTACCTGTTTTCTAATCCATCTCA